GATTTTCAGGCACCGGCAACAAGGGGAAGCGTGAGTTTCTCCTCATGTTTTCCTCCAAGCTACCCCCGAGGATGAGGCCTGTTCTTGACAAAGGTCCGCCTCTGGACACATACCTCGCGTGAGGGCCACCCATTTCCCAGAACGAAGAAACAACAAGTCTGAAGGGGGGTTGACTTGGTCCTAATGCCAAAGTGTAAGGCCATGAAGGAACCGGTTCTGTGTCAGGCCCCGAAAGATCAAACTCCTCACACATGAAACCAGCAAAAGACGCGTCCCCCCCCCTGCCCTCTATGACAACCACCGAAAATACTGCCAGATCCGTCAAGGCCTCTCAGATATCTGTCTTCCCTAGCCCGAGGGTTGGGGGCAGACAGTCAAAATCCGGAGGGGGGGGGTGTAATGGGAGATGGGTGTGCAGGGCCCCCATCAGGGGAAGAGGGGAGGAGGGGGACAGAAGATGGCGGCCGGGCTTCCGGGGGTCGACGCGCCGTCGACGGTGGATGTACCAGTCATCTTGCCGCATGGGAGATTCGGCGACATCGCGCCATGTTCTGCAGAGGACTGCTGCAGAAGAGGGGGCAGACCAACAGCCAAAGTCGATGCTGTGGTCGTACAGGAGGAGAGAGGTTTTGGGTTCGGGGGTCTGGGCTCTGCTTGCTACCTGCCTTGAAGGGTGATGAAGATTGGGGGGGGGGGAGGCAGGGACGTGGGTGCAGCGCAGTCAGCGGCCCCAGGCAACGCGAAAGCGCGACCAGAGAGCGACGGTTCTGGTGGGGAAAGAGGGATTGCGCGTTCCGATGGCAATAGCAGATGACATGGTACACGATCGTAGAATTAAAAAATAGAAGGGCAGACAGGACCGATGGTGTTTGATCAAGATGGTATGGATGGATGAATGGATGGAAAGAAATGGATTCCGTTCACGTACCTCCTTGATGATGAGCAGACGGGTTGGTGTTGTTGCTGGATGATTCCGCAGGCGATGCGCTCTGCGGCGGCTGCTGCTGCAGCTGCTGCGGCGGCGGCGGCGATGATGGCTGCTGCGATGGCTGCTGCATGGTCGGCGCGCGCGTTCCAGAGACGAAGAACACTCTGAGTCAGCAAGCACGAAGAGAGAGACGGAGAGGGAAAGCGACGATTGATGACTGTGACGGATGGGGTCGGAGGGTTGATGACTACAGCAGGTCGAGGGGTGTTGATTATAAAGACAAAAAAAGACGCGATGGCGATGGACCCGTCAGAACGCCCGACGGCTGTCCCTTCTGGCGCAGAACAGAGCTAGTGCGTTGCGGGTTTTTGATGAGGCGTGCCACCCGACCAATGGGCGTGCCTGGTGACTGATACCGATCCGGCAGTTCCTCGGTTCCGGTTTTAGGTAATGGCAATGGCGCTGCTGCTGTTGCTGTTGCTGCTGCCTCCGCTGCTGCGGCCTCTGCTGCTGCGGCCTCTGCTGCTGCTGCGCTGGTGCTGTGTGTCGCATGGAGGAAAAGCCCAGGAATGTAAAGGGTGTTTGGCCTGCGCAATAGATGGCATGGCGTCTTCGTCTTTGTCAGACGCCCAGGCCATCGCATTGGCCACCTACAAGCGAATCGTGTCATGCCGATACCAACAAAGTACTCCCTGGCTACCTTACCTAGGTAGGTACCCAGTGAAATGAATCGAGCTTCGTCTTCAGCGTCTGCCTGGTGGAACTATCGAATCGACGGATGTCCCAGGCAGCAAGCAGACCACACTTCCTGGGCTGTTCCGATGATTTTGCTCGTCCAAATTCGACACAGCAATCGAGCCCTCGCCACTTTCTGTCTATCGCACACATCTCGTCGACGGATCACACAGACCAGGACTTCGTTCGTCGCGCCCCAGGAAGCTTCGTCGTTGGGGTGGCTTGGTTGGGTTTGTCAGCAGCGAGCCCAGGACAGAACCAACATCGTCTGACAGGGGGGGGGGCCACCTTGTCGGTCTCCACGGCAAGACAAATGACCCTCCATCTCCAGTCAGCATGGTGGACACCGCTATGTTAGCCTCCCAGCCAGTCAGCAACTCCGACAACCCCCTCGACGACGAGCCACCTGCAGCCAACACAGAACCTCGATACTACGAGAGTCCGACTCCGAGTCCACCGTTCGGCGAGCCAACCCACTCGAATACTTGGGCGCATCTCATGGTACATCGTAGACAGATGGCGTCGAGTTCTTTGAGACCCCCATGAGTGGGTCATGCTGCACTACTACTGGAACTGGAATCGGAGTTTCATCGCCTAGCCCTATTGTGGACGTAGGTACTGTATATGTAGATACACTGGGGAGATCCCCGCCTTGGGGCCAGGACACCGAGATCGACTGCTACAGAGCCGCCGACTCAGAATCCCTGAGGCTTCTGAGCATCGCGTCCCTTCTCGTGCCGAATAACATGTGCCGACAGCGTAGACGTTCCTTTCAAAGCCCATTGATACGGTACACGTCCTGGGGCACCTGCCGCTTCCAACTATCTCGCCATCGGTACCACGATCCCTACGAGCTGACCATCAACTCCACCAAAGTGCCCGGAGGGTTTTGTAGCCGCCGACCAATTGCGCGAGGGAAGATTGGTTACTGTTCATGTACATGATAGCCCGTGGAGTTCGATGAGGACCGTGGACATGGATGCAAGCAGCTCCAACGTCAAGTGTCCGCCCAGTATCATGACGAGGGTCTGATTAGCCAAAACAGAACATGGATGATTTCCCTCGTGGGGTGTTACAGAACTGGTAATCGAGGCTGATGCCAGCCCTGTGAGGAACCTGAGCGTGTCATGTGTCACGTGCCGACTTTCACGACACAAGCTCAGCCAGCTGTGTTTGTTACTCAATTATCAGCCACTGGGTAATTCCATATGACCATTTACTCTGTATATTCGAGGATTCTACGTAGTCAAACTTGCTGGTGTTGATAGCGGATAGTTTCGCCAGATGTCAGATACTGCGTGACGAAACGTCCGCCATGTGACGACGTCGGCATCTGCTATCATTCTATTAAACAAAGATTGGGGAAAGTATGTCGTACGGGAAGTCACGGTGTACTTCGCTGGATTTGATTTCTTCCCTTTATTGGACACCTGAGACCTGAGGGCGTATTGCTCAGCGTAGAGCAAAGCTGGTACTGACCATTCATTATGATAACAACAATGGAAACCACCGGACGATAACACACCCCCCATCCGCAAAATCGGGCAACTTGCGTTCTCTCACCGAGAAAAAAAGTATGCGACAACCACGAAATTGAACCGGGAATCTATTGCTTGGAAGGCAATAATGCTAAACCATTACACCATTGACGCGGCTCGATGAGGGCGGCCATGCATGGAGGGATCCATCACGACGGGGCATGCGCGAACTTTGCTTCGGAACTCACTACACTGCGGAGTCTGAACCTTCTTGTAATGCAGGTCTCATGATGCACGTCAAGCGAGCATTTGAGTTCATGTAGCTAGCTGCGAGGGATCGAAGCGAGATAGCATCTAGCCGAGATTGAACACATCGTCGCGATGGGAGCAGTTGGTCGTGGAAGGTTGTCGGCGAATGCAATCTGGTCGGCAAGGTCAAGTAGAACGACGGCCTTGTGGCGTTGCAACGGAAGGCTTCACTTGACCATGCCGAGATCGTGGTTTTACGCCAGCCAACATAAAATTTGTCTCCTATTCCTACTACCGAGGACGCCCTTGATCTCGTAAACACAAGCAGCCGTGACCAGACAACACGAACGATGAAATACCACGTTCCCATGTGAAGACAGCGGGAGCCCGTGCACCCCCGTCCCCGCCGACCCAATCACCAAGTATTCCACCCACCACACGACCATCTCATCTCATCGCAACCTCTCCTCCTCCTATGAAACCCACAGCCCACCATGTTCCTCCTGCGCGCCACAAGACCTCACCTCAGCCTCGTGCCACGCAACGCCATCCGCGCATTCACAACAGCACCTGCAGCCATGTCGGCCCAAACGCCGACCTTCTCACAGGGCACCGACCCGTCGGCCCTCACGCCCAGACTCACGCCCCTCCTCGCGCCGGGCCGCTGGTCCCTCACCAACGAGGGCGCGGCCCTCGAGCGCACCTTTCGCTTCAAGACGTTCGCCAAGACGTGGGACTTTATGACGGCCGTGAGTTTGCAGTGCAAGCTCAAGAACCACCACCCCGAGTGGTCCAATGTGCGTCCTGCCCGTGCCAGACTGGCCCGCTCGTTCTTACGAGCTGGCATGCGATTTGGGAGGGGGAGACGATGTATCCCCCTTGGACAGATGAAACTAGCAACTGACAGCCTCAGGTGTACAACACGACCTTTATCCGCTGGACGACACACGAGCCAAAGGGCCTCTCGGCAAAGGACGTCACGCTCGCGACGCTCTGCGACGAGTTGGCCAGGGACTTTGGCGAGGTTGTCGAGGACGCCTCCGCCGCGAAGGAGACGCAGGCCTGCGCTCTGGGCGGGCTGGCTGACGCGGCCGTTACGGCGGGGGGCGACTGCTGTGTGCCAAAGAAATAATTCGACAACCTCCGCCATTTTGGCGCTCATCTAGACCTCGGGCGCCGCCAAGAGAGGCATATTCAGGTTCCATGAACGAAAAAAAAGGAGCGTGTTTGATCGTTGTATTAATAGTGTAATTAATCACCATATGTAAATGATGGGCAGCCCCCTACTGTATGTACAACACGGAAAGAACCTGGCGAAAAAAAAGAAAAGACTCGCCCACTGCCCCTTGCCCTTTTCACAACCCTTCAGACCGTGCCCCGACCTTTGGGAAAACATGAAAAACGCCGTCCCGATGAGTTTTCTTCAAGTACGCATGGCAAGATGCTGTCATCACTGCCTGCGCTTCATTTGGGAAAGGAAAGGCTC